GAGCTTGCCCCCTCTGTGCCCGCTGCCCAAGCTGCAGCACTGGGCTCCCCCTGCTCCTCTGGGAAGGGAAATGTTTTCCCTCTCCACTCCCATTCTGCTCGCCAGCAGCCAGTGATTCCGGTTTCCCTGCACGCTGCCGCCAAGCGCCTCTGGAACCACTGGAAAATGCATAAAAGGCTGGGCAAGGCTGCGGTGAGGGTTACTCAGAGTCACAGCTGGATCCAGCTGCTGCTTTAAAGCAACAGCACAGCCACACAGGGCTCCCCAGGACACCCAGGTGTCCCAGGGGTTTAAATCCCATGGGAAGGGAAGGCAGCATCCTCACTGGGCAGCAGCCATGAGGCTGGAGGGAGCCTTTTCACCGGGCAAAATGAGGAAGGGGAAGCCAAAGGACAGAAACCCTTGGGTGGGTCTGGACCTGGGATTTGCTCACCCAGGGTTGCAGAGTGCTTCCCCTGCCCTGCTCCTGTGGCTCCTGGCACAATGACCAGGAGAGTACATCCCTGCCAGCCCCAGCTGCATCCCACGGTTGGGTCTGCAAAGGGCAACAGCAGCCTGGGGACCCCGGAGCAACGGGGGCTGGCCCAGCCATCACTCTGCAAAGCAACTTACACTCCTCCCCTATTTTTGGAAGCACTCATGTAAATCCTGCTTCCAGGCACGACAGAGGGTGTGGCTGTGGCTCAAGGTGTTTCAGCAGCCCCCTGTGTTTGGTGTTTCAGTGTGTGAAATGCCAAGGCCAGTGGAGTGGGATGGAGCAGCTGGCTGTGGGAAGGCAGAAAACCTCCTCCTACATCCTGGGTAGGTCCTGCTCTAGCAGAGATGCTGGGATGGAAACAACCATGGGGCACTGGGGTTAATGAGTAAAACAACTCATTAATTTACTTATAAACCTGGTTTATGGGGGTCTGGTTTATGGCCCTTTTAGCATGGGCAAGCAGAGGGAGCTTTCTGTGGGGGTGGATGTCTTTCCTGGTGTCCCACGTCAGCCTGGTTAGTCCATGACATCTGCTCCACCTTCCAAGACGCAGCAATGAATCAGGTTAATAATTAATCCAAACTGCCTGGGGAACCTTCCCTGGGAGGAAGGCAGAGCCAGCCCTGCTCACAGCTCTCAGTGTCCCACGTGAGAGCTGCAGTGATGGGCAAGTCTCACAGGGCTGCTCTTTACCACAGCATCATGAAAGGTGCTTAGAAAACAAACATGGAAAGGAGAAAGGAACATTCCCTGTCCTATCACATCCAGGATGTTTGCTCCTTAGTGTGTGCAAAGTCTTGATGTGGTGCGAGTCTGGTTCAGCCAAACAAATTGCAGCTTTGACCTCCCTCCCTGCTCCAGGGTATACCACAGGTGAGTGGTTTAGCAAAGAAAAACCTAAAAGTGTGACCACCCTGTGCAGCTGATCTTGGGTCAGGCTGAGCCGTTGGTCCTGCTCCAGGCACTCAGAGGTTTGGGGAGGAGAGGCTGGTTTGTGTGTCTCTGCAGGGCAACGGGACCTTGGCTTGTGTGGGAAACCCAGCCCAGGGACCACAGTGTAGGCACAAGTGGTCAGGAGGTGTGAGAGTTCCTGGAAGAAGAAGTGAGAGTTTTTTCTGTGTATGTATAATTTGCTGGAATGAAAATAAATCAGAAAACAACACTCACACACACACAAAAAAAAACCATATCAAAGAAACCAGTGCAGCTTTCCCCAGTGAAACAAATTCCAAACCATCAGTGGGAAAACACTGGCTAGGTCAATCTGCCACTAGCCAGTCTTCTGGGATTACATAAACTTTATAAAAAAAGCTCACTTATTTCTTTGTACTATTTTTTTTAATAAAACATTTTAGTTCAGGTCTGCTTTGAAATTATAAGAGGATTCTTGAAACCAAAAAAGCATTGTGGTTAACTTTGAGAACATTTAAATGAGCCACTTGGGCATCACCCCAGTCCTTTCCCTTAACCCAGACAATGTCCTGGAGCTCAGTTTGATGCCAGTACCAAAGCCTTGTTGTCCCCACAGGTTGCCCCTCCCCATCTCCAGCAGTGCCACCAATTGGGATAATGCTTGGGTGGGGGGGTGAGCGTGTGGCCTTGGGACTGGCTCACTCCAAACGGGTCACAGGAGCCACCAGATGTGGAGATGGCTGCTGCCAGCAGGAGCTGGTGTCACCCTGGCTGTCACTGAGGTGTCGCCCAGGAAGATCCATGCATTGCCTTCCCCTCTGCATCCCTGTCCAAATGCTGCTCCTCACAGGTGCCCTGCCAGCTCTCCCAGGGGTGCTGTGGCCTGGCACACCTCAAATGTCACTGGAGTTGTGCAAAGCAGAGGAACTTGGCTTTTCCAAGCTCAAGCAGCACCTGCCACCCAAGAGCACTTATCCAGAAACCTGCAGCTCTGCCCACAGTGCCAAAAAGGCACCTGGTGCCTCCAAATTTCAGTCTAATGGCTCAGACCTAAGAAATACAGGCGATGGGTGCTGCAGAGAAGGAGGGGCAAGGCTACAGATTCAGCTGCTTTGCTGAAGGCAGGGCTAGGCAGGAATGGCAGGGATATGCTGCTGGCAGAGTCTACTAGAGTGATATTCAGGTTTCTCTTTTTCGTGTTTCGTTCTCAGCAGAGTAGTTGTGGCTGCTCCTGTGAAACCTGTTCTTGCTGGGTGCTGGAAAGAGGCAAAGGGAATGTGTGTGGAGTAAAACTTTTTAGAAGAAACATGCTTTGAGTTGTATTTTGTTCTTCCTGCTGTTTTTCTGTTTTTCTGGGGTGAATCTGAAGAGCTAAAAACTTGGTTTTGTCCCAAACTTTTCTATGTAATGATGAAAAAAAAAAAATCATAAACAATTCTGCTTCATTTCCAGGTTCATCCTTGAAACAGGAATTGGTGGTGCCAGGGATGCCCAGGACTATGTTTATCCCAGGCATCAGAAGCCCCAGACCTGACAGGAACTGAGCCTTTAATGATTATCAGAGGTAAAGCTTTGTGCAGCCCTCACACCCCAGGCCTGCAGTGCTCTCATGCAGTGGGATGTGCATCTTTTTCCCACACAGGGAGAGGTAGGGGGTTATTTGAGCCAAAACCCTTCACAGCAGCATGGAATCATCCGGGAAGTCCTATGCTCGTGGCCCTACAGCTTTCCTGCACGGAAACAGCCGTCGGAGAGGCAGGACACTGGGAGCAGGGCTGGCACAGCTGCCTGCCCCAGGCTGCCAGGAGCCCTCCTCACGCTGCAGCAGTGCCAATTGTCAATCCCACTGGAGCAGCACAGCCCTCGGGCTGCAGCAGGCCAGCCCTGCTCCTGCCGGCTGGATGTGCTGGTGCTGGGCACCCACGGCGCCCCGCGAGACTGGCACACACCCACGGCTGCTGGGTGCCTGGAATGGCAGCAGTCACCCGGGGCTGTGGTTTAGGATTTACTGCAGCTCCTCATGAGTGGATGTTGCCATCCCTGTCCCCATCGTGGTCCCAGGGCAAATTGCAGGGATGAAATGGTTGTTGTGCTCTCAGGGCTTTCCTGTTCACATCCCTTCGTGCCTGTTTGTGCAAGGGCCATTCTCCACTGGGGTCCTCCTCCACTGTGAGCCCCTCTTTGCAGAGTGGGGTGAATCCCCAGACATGGGCATGCATCTAACCATTCCTTGTGCTGCAGGGATGAGGGGGTCCTTCTTGCAGCCTGTTTGGGTCAAGCTGATGCTCAGTGAATCTCATGGCCATGATTTTCTTGGGGCCATGAGTGCAGCAAATACAAACTTTCCTATAGGCACTGGGAACAAGCTAAAAAGGAATCAGGAAAGGTATGTATGGACTTTTGGTGATGATAAGGACATAGGATGCTGTAGAGCTGGTGCAGCTTGTTTGGGCAATGTTTCCTGGGGAGCTTTCACAGGCCCCAGGAAACAGAGCTGCAGGACACCTGGGAAAGCGATAAGCTGAGATAAGGAGAGAGAAACAGATCTGGAGAAAGCAATGCAATCTTCATCCCCAAACTGAGCTGGATGTGGAGTTTCCTTGGTGCTGTTTGAGTAGCAGAGGTTATGTGGGTCCCTCTATATGTCCAGAAAAGCCTTTTCCATGAGAAGCTCAGTGTGTCCAGGGGATTGTGAGAGCTATAGGAGACCCTGACCCTCATCATGAAAAATGCAGAGGAACTGTTCAGAAAGGGACTGGGACAGTCTGCTGGACAGGAAAGGAAATACTGCAAATTTCCTGCAGGCTTCCCAGCCTGGCTTCATGGCAGACATGAGCAGCTGGTGGGATTGGGAGAGTGACAAAAAGGTAGATATTACAAGGACTGATTTTTATGGCTGAAAAACACCTGCAACTGAAATGTTACATTTAAAAGGAAAGGAAGGTCTTTAATCTGCTTCTTAATGGGCAATGGGATGTCCCATGCTGATACGGCTGTCCGAACCAGGGCTGAAGGAACAGTTTGAAAGGACCCCTCACCTGGCTGTGATGCTATTAGAAATTTGACCTATGAGAGGTCCCAGCATGCTGAGCAGGCACCTTCCTGCTGCAGCAACTCCCCGTCAGCTCCCTACACCCCCAGGTGTGCTGTGAGTCCCAGGAAATGTGTGTGGGCAGAGCATGGATGCCTGGGTGAGACTGGAGTCCTGGGCAGAGTATTAGTTCTCCACAAGGTGTGGGCCCTGAGTGAGATGTGGGTCGTGGGGGAAGGGTGGGTCTCCGGAGAGGTGGGTATCCCAGGAGGCACATTAAAGACTCTGGGCAGAGCTAATGCACCCCAGAGAGGGCACAGGACACGAGAAGCCGGACTAGGACGCCCCCGCGTTCCCAGATCACGGTGATCAGCAGCGGGGAGGGTCCTCAGGGGGACGTGTGGGGTGTCACCCTTAAACTCCTTGCCCCTGGGAGCATTGGGGAGGTGTCTGTCCGCTGGGGCGGGCGGGGGACGGGTCAGAGGGGCAGGGCAAGAGTTAACCTACCTGCTCTGCCATCCATCTCTAGGCTCCACCTCAGAGAGAGAGAGGGGAGGGAAAAGGGAAAAAGTAGGGGAAAAAAAAGAAAAAAGAAGAGGAGGAGGAGGAGGAAGAGTGCAGAGAGAAGCGCCCGGACCGCGGGCAGCCCGGCCAGCAGCGGAGCGGCCGCCCCGTCCCACTCCCAGCATGTTCCAGTGGTGAGTGATCTCCGGGGAGCGCGGAGCCCAGCCCCGCTCCTGTCCCGCTCCCGCACCGAATCCCGGTATCCCTGCCTCCGCCGTCCCGTATCCTCCGTCCCCGCTGCCCGGCACTGCCGTCCCGACGCCCGTCCGGAGCCGGGGGACTGCGAGGATCCGTCCCCAGCGGGTCCCTCTCGAGAGTCGCCCCGGGGGTGGCCGGCCGGGGAAGGGCAGCTCTGGTGGGGACGGTGGGCGTGCGGAAGCGACTAAGGACGGAGTTTGTCATTTGTCCCCATCCCGGGAGCGAGCCTCCCGCCGCCGCGGCTCTGCGGGGCTCCAGGCGGGTCTCGCTGGCCGCGGTACCCCGGAGAAGGCTCTCTGGGGGTCCGCTCCCGACACAAATTTCTCTTCATCCCGGGGCACCGGAGCTCCTGCCCGGCGGGAGGCAGGATGGAGGCAACGTGCAGGGGCGGCCGGTTGGTGCTCCCCAGTCCATGGGGATGCCTTTCCCAGCTTTTCCCTGGAAAAAAGCTGGTTTATGTGGAGGTGCTGGGGACAGCAGGGCCTCCAGCCTTGCCCGATGGGGTCCCGTCCCACGGCAGCACCAGGTTGGGGCACATGCCCTCGCCGGGGACGATACCTGGGTTCGGCTCTTGCCCTTTCCCCAGAAGCGGGTTTTTACGGCCTTGTATTTAAACCAGACGGCTTTTATGAGGATGGGACGTGTCCCCGGGCACCCCCATGGCGAGCTGCGGCCCCACTTGGTGCTTGCATCCAGCTATTGCACAGGCTACTCCTGGGGATATTTGGGTTCCCTCTGCCCAGCATCTGTCCCTTTATAAGATCCCCTCTCCAAATCCTTGGCACTGCCAACAGACAGGACTCTATACTGGCGGTGCCTCCAGTGACCGGGTCTAATTGAGGGGCCAGCAAAAGCCCCTATCACATAAATAGATAGCACTGGCGGATCAAAGAGGTTTTCTCCTGAATCCAAAGTGAATGGGATAGAGATAGAGAACCCCTGTCTCTCGGGGTCTCATCTGCCCTCGAGAATCAACACCTGAAAGGGATACTGCCCACCTCTAATTTGGAGTTTATGTTTAACTGCCTGGTGGCACAGCCACCTCACAGGGAGGCTTTTGAAGTGTCCTTGGTGGATAAAAGGGAAGAGGAGGAGTGTGTTAAGACCTTTTCAAAGCTCTCTTGATGGCACCAACACCAGCAGTTGGGGCAGACCTGACTGGAACCGATGGCAGCCCCTCCCTGCTCCCCACCCAGTGGGTGCCACCCTTGGACTCTGCGGTGCTGGGTGTCCCCAACTCCTGGGGACACTATGGGGACTGGCTGGGGGCTGTGCCCCAAAAACGGGTCCTGGGGCTTGGCAGGGTGACTTCTCCGCGATGGCAACAAACCCAAAGCACCTCCCTTGCCAATGTGTCCCCAGAAAGGAGGAGATACTTCTTCACCCATACCTAAAGTACTTCCCAGCTGAGGAGACCACAGAGCAGAAAGACTCATGACTCGAAAAGATGCACAAACAACTGATGCACAAACAACTGTCGCTCTTTTTGGCCTTCAGTCCTTCATTCGATATGGGAATTGCCTGCGGTTGTGCCTCAGGGTCCTCCCACTCCCCGCTGCTTTCCTGGCAGTGCAGGGACAGGGTTTCTGCAGGGCAGAGGTGGCTGTGGGTCTCCTGGTTTCTGCTGGACCTGGTGGGACCCCATGGTTTGCAGTCAGACCAATAGGAAAAATCCCAAATAGGTTCTTGCAACAAAGCAGGAATTGCACTGGTGAGAACCAGGAAACAGGGTCCACTGAAGGAAGTAGGAATAAGTTTCTGTGCTGTTGTGCAACACCTCACCTATAAACATACCCAGGCCACTTGACGCTCCACCTCTTAATAAAAGCTGGATTTGTCCCTTCAGCCCTGATCAGAACTGCTGTCCCAAGGAGAGTAATGGGGGTCAGTGCATCCATGCACTGTTAGACAGAGTCTGCCAAGGCTGGGACCATCTGTGCCAGTATGTGACAGTCCTACATATGCAAATTGTTGAAATTTGTATCAGTAATTCCCTGACCTTTGGCTTTTGGGGAACCTCTGGCCATCCTTCAGGCTGAGTATTTTATTGCTTGTTGTTCTTGGGTGGCGGGGAGTGTAAGAATGTGGTGGGACAGGACAGGATGGGATGGGTTTGATACAAATGAAATTACTCTACAGGGCTGACAGGGGTTATTTCTGCAGCAGTGCCGGGTATAGATGAGAAGTTTTAAACATTGCTTGGCTGTACTTGGAGTAAAGTTGTATTGGAACTGAAGGGTTTGTAAGAATAAGCTCAAAACTGTGCAGACAGGGCGGGAGAGGGTTAAGGCAATGATGAGATCTAATCAGAACTGCTCTCTCATCAGTCTCAGATGAGTGGCCACATATAAAACCGGATGAGGAATATCTATCCATTTATCCTTAATTACTTATTTCCACGCTCGCTCCCACAGTCCACACTAGTGATCACAGTTTTCCCACGACAACGTCGAGCTCAAAAGTTCTTTGTGCTTCAGAGCACAGAGTGAGAGACAGGAGCTCCTGAAAGCTCCTGGTTCCCATCTGGGACTGCTGCATTTCAGGATGAGCGGAATCCCCTAGCACAGTGTTGTCTCCTGCCCTGGGGAGCTTGATGACTTATAGGGTGTCCCACCAAGCAGGTGTTTTGGTGCAGCCTGAAGCCCAAAACTCCCCCAGCTTCACAGTGGTTCTGATCCAGTCCCCAGGTCTAGGAGAGTTTCATGGCTTTTGGGGGGTTTCTTATCTATCTGGAAAATACTTGGGTTAAATGTTTCAGATTTCAGCCCCAAGCTCCTTCTCTGAACTATCCTGAAGTGAAGAAGATATCTGCCTGCTAAAGATGATTCTGGATTTTTCTGGCTCTGACAGGAGCAGGGGGCTGAGGGCTGTCCCAGTGGGTGTCACCTAGGCTGGGATGTGCTTCTGACATGAAGAGGATAGGTCCAGGGGCATCCCAAGACCAGTGCCACATCTGTCTCCATCAGCTCCACAATCCAGTGGCAGGAAAAAGGGATCCAGGGACTACCAAACACCTTGTGTCAGAGCAGACAGAGATGGGGCTGCCCTTGGGAAGCTGTTGGGAGTGGAGACAAGGGCTCAACTGCTGTGCTCCCATACCCAGTGTTCATCTGCACAGGGAGATGGCCCAAGGTGGCTGGAACATGGGGGACTGAGGCAGGAGGAAGTTGGTGCAGATGTGCAAGCTGTGGAGGGAAGCTGAGTGCTCAGGAGCTCCATTGTGCAGCTGGGCAGAGGGGGCAGTTCCCCTCCTTTGTGGCAGTGAGATGAGAAATCCACCTTTAGCCGAGTGGAAAAGCAAACTGGGGAGGAATTGTGCATCAATAATCTTCAAGTGCAGCTTTCCCAGAGTCCCAAGGACTCAGAAGGATCCCACTTAAGCTCCCCATGAATTCCATCCAGGGTTTGTCCCATGAGCAGCAGCTTCCCAGGGCTATAGGCCTGCAGCAGAGGAGAGCAGCAGGATGGTCACAGGAAGAACTGGGTTTGATCTACTCATGCCCTGCATACCCTGGACATGCAGAGACCTGTTTTGTCACAGGCTGGGAAAATCTGCCCACCCAATCTGCCCTGTATCCACTGCTCCTCATCACCACAAAGGAAGCAATGGAACTCAAGAGCTGCCAAAAGCCCAGAAGTACCCCCTGAAATACTGGTTTCCAAAGTGGTTGTAGGTTTAGGGATGCCTTTTTCCCACTGAACCACGAAATTTCACTCAAATGGCTTTTTTTTTTTTTTTTTTTTTTTTTTTTTTTTTTTTTTTTTTTTTTTTTTTTTTTTTTCCCATGATGTGCCATTTTAATACGAAACAGCAGTGTGAGTTCCATGTTGACTCTTGTGGTCTTCCCAGGTCTGGTTTCTTAGTGCTCTGTGACCTGTGATACCAGTCTAGGCCATGGACAGTATGTCTCTCCTGGAGCTAAGGCTTCCTTGGAAAAGATAATTCCCTCCTGCTCTTGTCCTAAACTACAATTTTTAGATGACTGAAACAGTGGTTTCCTTTGGGACTTTCTTTTGAAACAGCTGCCTTGCTGAAACTCTCCCCCCGACTTGTCTCTCTCTCAGCTCATTTTCATCTTTCCTGTGAACTCTTCACTGATCTTAGCACTGGGGTTACCAGATGACACTGCAACCACATACCTTGTGCCGGTCCCTACAGTTAAGTGTGGCCCCAGAGCCACCCCACAAGAAGGATGAAGCTGGTAAGAGTATGCATTGAGGTGTCCTGCAGCTCTTCCCACAAGGTTTCTTCTCCTCAGAATGTGATGGAACACATTATGAGTATCCCATGACCTCTGAAGGAAGTGGTTTTGCAGACAAGCCTCTTTAAGCCTGTATATTCTTCTCCCTAACCCATTGTCTCTTCCCTTTAGGAAGAAGACCATCTACAAAACAGTCTGTCTCTCTTTCTTGCTGGTTATTACAGTAACGGTGCTACAGCGTGGAATGGCCCCAAACCAGTTCATGCAGGGCCAGCAGCAGAAAGAACTGCCCCCTTCAGAGCCCTTGAAATCACAGAAGAGAGACAACACCTTCTCCATCAGCAACACTTTCTGGAAGACCAAGAAGGAGAAAGCTCCTGTGAAGGAGGAGAGCGTGACAGCAAAGCAAACAAAATCCTGGGATGTCACCATTACCAACTGCTCAGCCAACCAGAACTTCAGCAAGGTGGATTGGTTCAAAGGGCTGGAGCCCAACTTCCAGCAGTTCCTGCTCTATCGGCACTGCCGCTACTTCCCCATGCTGATCAACCACCCAGAGAAGTGCAACGGGGATGTCTACCTGCTCATCGTGGTCAAGTCCATCATCACACAGCACGACCGCCGCGAGGCCATCCGGAGGACCTGGGGCCAAGAGAAGGAGGTGGAGGGCAAGAGGATCAGGACGCTGTTCTTGCTGGGCACTGCCTCCAAGGAGGAGGAGAGAGCCAACCACCAGAAGCTACTAGATTATGAGAACCACATCTATGGGGACATCTTGCAGTGGGATTTCCTGGACAGCTTCTTCAACCTCACCCTCAAAGAGGTCCATTTCCTGAAGTGGGTTGACATCTACTGTGACAACATCCACTTCATCTTCAAAGGCGATGACGATGTGTTTGTGAGTCCCAGCAATATCCTGGAGTTCCTGGAGGACAAGAAGGAGGGAGAGGATCTCTTTGTGGGGGATGTCCTCTACAGGGCCAGGCCAATCCGTAAGAAGGAGAACAAGTACTACATCCCCAGTGCCCTCTACAACAAAAACATCTACCCACCCTATGCAGGGGGTGGGGGCTTCATCATGGATGGAGCTCTGGCCAAGCGGCTGCATAAGGCCTCAGAGACTCTGGAGCTGTACCCCATCGATGATGTCTTCCTAGGGATGTGCTTGGAGGTCCTTAAAGTGTCACCTGTTGGGCACGAGGGCTTCAAAACTTTTGGCATTGTGAAAAACAAGAACAGCAAGATGAACAAGGAGCCGTGTTTTTACCGGAGTATGTTGGTGGTTCATAAACTGCTGCCTCCAGAGTTGCTCCAAATGTGGGACTTGGTCCACAGTAACTTGACATGCTCAAGAAAACTGAATGTCCTTTAGCTCAGGAGACCTGGGACTGGCAGGAGCTGGGACAACTGATCCCTGCTCTGGGGTGGGGTGAGCCTCCACTGGTGGCACACAAATCCTTCAGGGGCACTGCCCTCCAGGGTGAGGAGGGCAGAGACACTGCGCTCACAGGCAGGGTTTGTTCCTGTACTGTATTGTGGTTCACGTATCTCCAGCTGGGTTGGGGGTTGCTGAAAAAAGAGAAAAAAAACAAGAAAACATGACAAGTCTAGCACAAAATGGAGAGAGGGTAAAGAGGTTTGTGCTCTGCTTTAGGTACCTCCTCCACAGCAGCATGATGAGTGGAGGAAGGCAGGGAGGGATGTGGCACTGGCATTTTTTGGAGATGTTCAGGGTCTGGCTATCCAGGGAAGCTGTTCCAAGGGTGTTCAGCCAATTACAAGTGCATTGGCCCCTCCTGACTCAGAACTCATGGGATTTTATTTGTTATCTCAAATTTCTCCTCCATGCAAGGTTTTGGTAACGATCTGTGTGCATTGGGTTCACCCCCACCAAAGTCCTCTGTGCCCCCATATGCAGCTGGGGAAAGGGGCTCTTCTCTGAGGCTGGCCCTCAACAGCCCTGAGTGCCCATTAGGGTTTGAGCCTGGCAGCTGGGGAACTGGGGTCCTTGTCCCTGTTAGAGGGTCCCAGGCAACGGTGGCTCCCTGCACCAGCCTAGGCTCTGCCTGGCTCCCCAGCCCCCCTGCAGCCTTACTGCATCTGCCCTCAGAGGAATGCACCCAGCTGAAATTCCTCAGGGATTTGTTCCTCCTGGCAGGAAAGAGGCCAGCTGTCCTTGCCTGTGGCCAAGGAAGAGGTGGAGAAAACTGGTGGCCCCCCTTAGAGTGCCCCAGGGATTTGTCACTTCTGGGACTCTACTTCCTGGGCATCCCAGGGGGTGCAGTGGGGAGACCCTCTCTGTGCTGCACAACTGCCTTCATGGCTTTGCCTTGCAGGGGGACAACAGCCCCAAGGGCTCTGTGTGTGGCTGCTTCTGGTTCAGCCCTGGTTTTCAGCAACTGTGATGCTCCAGGGTAGGTTGGAGATATTGGTCCTGCTCTGGCATGAGACGCAGAGTCCAAGGGGACAAAGTGAAGGAAAGTTGGTGTTTCACACACCTCAGGGTTGTTGCAGTATTTATTCTACAGGCTGAGATGCAGGAGCATGACAGGGAATGGTGTCACAAGACATGGCCTTTTTTTCTTCGGGCTGCAAGGGCTACAAGCTCTCAAGGGGAGCCCTGGGCTGGCTGCTTTGGTGGAAACCACCCAACAGAGAGATATGTGGCCACACAAGGGCCACGGATGCTCTTCAGCCACTGACTGCAGGCATGAGCAAAGGCCACAGGAATGTGCAAAGCCACACATGTTCACACACGTGCTCCCAGGCACAGGCTCTACACACACAGATGTCCCTGTGTGTAGGGCTGGCATGCCCAGATATCCCTGCAGGGGGTGGACACACACAGCCACATCCATGGCCCTGACCACGCACAGCGAAACACAGGCACAGATGCCCTTACTCCCTCTCCTTCTCTGGTGCCAGACATTGAAAGGAAAAAAATTTTACTACCTCAAAGGTCCCCCTGTGCAGTGCCTTTTTTTTTTCCCCTTTCTCTTATTTTCTTAATGCGTTTTGGAAACAGGCCTGTTTCATTTACTCCAAGTACATTTCCCAGGTTAGAAAACAAACTAAAAAAGAACATAAACCAGTCAAAAAGGGCACCCACATGCCAAGGCACACCACTCTTAAAATGCCCCTGCTCAGATGAGATGCAGATTTGAAGAGAAGGAAGAGAAAGAGTCAGTGCTGCCCAGGGCTCAGCTGGTGGTAATACTGTGAAACTGGATGTACAATGCACCAGGTCCCTGGAGCAGCAGGGCAGAATCCTGACAGCATATTTGGTACCCACTGGGCTTAGGGAGCACTTGACTCTTTCCTTTTACCTTCCCTTCCTTCCAACAGGAGTGAGTTCAGAAACACTTTCCAAATTGATACCTCCATAATTTGTCAGGTACAGTACTTTAGACTGTACATTTATCCTGGATGCAGGGTCAGCTCTCGCTCTCTGTAGCAATGTGTATGGTGAGCCAGGGCTGTATACAGACATCTCTCAGTGTTGTTCACCTGGTGGGACCTGGACAGAGAAACCTTGTAGAGTTTGGTGACTATTCTAGTTCCTAAATAAAGGACAAAAGAAGAAGAAAAAAAAAATCCTACAAGCCTTCACCTTGTGTCATTACTAGTGAGTTTCTGCTGGGAACAAAACCTGGCAGTGTGCAACAGTGATAAAACTAACTCCTTGGAATGGGCATCTGGGGACTGTAGCTGCCCTGTTCTAGTTTGGCACAGCTTCCTTGTGGAGCCTGACATGGTAACCAGGCTGGTGGCTATTTTCTCTCTTTCATGTACTCCTCCACCTTAATCTCAAACTAAACTTCAGATCCTCCTGGTACCCTGCAGGAAGGAGCTTCTCATGTCAACCTCTGTGGCAGAAGCCACCTTGGCAGGGCTGGAAACTCACTGGTTTTGTTGAGCAGATGGGCACCTCCTGTCCCTGTTACCTCCCCACAGCAGGACCTTGCTCACTTCCACAGCCAAAGCAGCACCATGGGGTAACACAACCCCTGGTGCTGAGGTTCAAACCTGGCTGGGGTGAAGAGGAGGAAAGCCACAGGTGAACCCCTAGGTCTGACCTTGGCATTTGGGCACCAAGGGGCTGTTTCACGGGCTGCCACTCAGCTCGGACACTCCCGGTGCTGCGGAGCAAAGAGGTCAGTGAAGGGGACCAGGCCATACTGTGTTCGGCAGGTTGGCCCAAAAATTTCGTACGCATGGACAAAACACAAGTGCTCAGCGGATGCCCTCACGGATACCCTGTCCATTCCCTGTCCAGTGTGACCCCGCAGTGTCACGCGTGTGCCCCGTGCGCGGGTCCGGCCGGGCCCCCGCGGCCCCTCAGGGGAGGGAGGCGGCGCGCGGCCGCTGCTGCCCCCTGGCGGCCGCTGCTGCCCCCTGGCGGCCGCTGCTGCCCCCTGGCGGCCGCTGCTGCCCCCTGGCGGCCGCTGCTGCCCCCTGGCGGCCGCTGCCGCCCCGACCATTTGCCGCCGGGCCGCGCGCGCGGCTCCAAAATGGCCGATGGCGAGGGGCCCGGAGAGCCTGGGCCGGGGGCGATGCCACACGGCACACAAAGCCCACAGCTCGCCACCCGAAGCGACCCCACACACCACTGGTTTAGTTCTAGCCACAGGGGAATGGCCTTTGGCAAGGCTCCATGTTAGGAAGCTAGGGAGAACGGAGCAGAGGCTCGGCAGGGCAGGGAAGGTCCCCGTGCTGGGCATGAGGGCAGAACAGTCCGACAGCACTGGCACGGGCCAACGCCAGGGCACCATCCTTGAGCAGGGCAGGGGCAGATGACACTAAGGGACCCTGTGCCCAGGAAGGCTCAGCTACATGGCCCCACTTTCTGTGCCTGTTTCCTGCACCCATCAGTCTGGGAAAACCATGTACTCCAACAGCTGCCACTGCAGCCAGAAAAACCAGCCAGTGACCACTGCCACAGGACCGGCCAGGACTGACGCTCTTCATCTCCAGGCTGGTTGGTGCCTGACCTTGTGTGAGAAAGGACAGCAGGAGGCCTGAGTTTGGTTACAAACAAGAAGCCACTTAGCCCAAACTCCTGTTTATGTATTTGCTTCACACCTGGGGGCAAGAGACAATGTGGAATAAAGCACAAGAGAAAATACCTGTAGGAGTCAGCAACTGAACTGCAGTGCCTTAGTACAAGATCTGATTTACTTTGTTTAAAAAGAAAGTAGAAAAGCAATTGGCTAGCAAGCACCACCACACCATCTTCAGTTAAAAAAAAACAACACAAAAGGTTGTGGTTACAGAGCTTACCTTGGCCATCCATAATCTTTTCCCCTACTTCCTGCTAACACAGCACACATTAACACTGCTGGGAGCTGACACAGGCTGGAGCAGAGCAGGACAGAAGCTGCTGCTGTGATACCAGTGACCTTAACCCAAAAGAGGGAAGGCTCCAGACAGCCTGTTTCTCACAGCCTGCTTAATTTAGTGGCACAGAAGTAACACGAACCAGTTTAGGTCCTTTAATCTGTCCAAGACAGGGTGCTAAAGCACAAATGATAAAACATTCTGCATTTTTACAGCAAAAATGCTACAGAAGTTTATAGGAAAAAAATTTTTTTTGTACATGGGTAAAACATTATAAATTCAAGACAACTCACAGACAAGGGGTAAATTCCCACATCTATCACTCTGTTTTAAGAAGTTCATTTGAACAGGCAAGCAGTCAAAATGGCTTGCTCTCTCTTCCTTGAAATGAAAATGTTATCTTCCAAGTGGCTCACAGTACTGCTGCGCTTCTTGGAATGTCCTCCGAAGGCTCCGCCAAGATCAAAGGAGAATAAAAACCCCCGGAGTCCTTTCAGATAGTCTTGGAGAGCAGGAAAAGGGAAAGGAAAGGGGAAGTTTATTCAAACTTGATCTTCTTCCCTTGCGGCTTGTGATCTCCACCTCCTCCTCTGCCTCCTCGGAAGCCACCTCCTCTACCTAAAAAGGGAATTATTGCAAAAAAGCAGAGTTACCACTATAGTATTTTATGTATATGTACACACACACACACATGAATATATTGCAGTGGTATATCTATAGCACTGCCCTTCCCGACCCATCCTAGCACAGGACAGAATGGTCTCTGGTAGCTCTACACCATGACCCCAAGAATGGCTCTGGATTAATTTTGGAGCACACCCCCTCTGAACCTATTCCTCTTACCTCCAAATCCACCTCTGCCACCACCTCTGCCACCAAATCCACCTCTTCCTCCTCGGCCACCTCCTCTGCCACCACGACCACCAAATCCACCGCCACGCTGAAAGTCACCCTTTGGCTTGGCAAAATCAAGGGTCACTTTGTTTCCATCTATCTCTCCATCTTCCATGGCTTCTTTAGCTGCTTTGGCATCTTCTGCAGAGCTGAAGTCCACAAACCCAAACCTAGGGAGGGAACAGGTTGCAAGAGCGACAGTCAGTCACATTTCGTGAACTGCAGCACCACCTACAGGTTCCTGGCAGAAATCCTTTTGGAACCCAACACCAGCACTTCTGCATCCCACAGATGTGTTACTTGTAGGACAGCAGTGGCTAATCACAATCGATGGAGCCCCACTGTGA